ATGATCTCTTAAAAAGGTACATCAATAGGATAAAATTATGAGGCCATTAAACTAAAACGAATAATACTTCGATAATTAAGAATAAACTATTACATTAATTACTTTTTTTAACTATGAATTAATTATTTCATCAATTTCATATGCCTCACACACATTGAATTTTCTTTAGGTACATCATCATAGATGCCAAATACTTGAATATGGATGATGATGGCAATATACATAATGATGATGATATCATGATAACATACCTTTGATATAAAATTTTAATGTGCATAAACTGTGTTTTTTATGGCATCTCATCATATGACATCTTATGATCAATGAAATCATGTGAGGCCGTTATTCTATTAATTGAACTGGCATCAAATTGACATTAAGTGTACGGAATACTGTGATTATTATAAGATAATTAATTTATTAGTCACAAATGATCTTCAAAACTATATTAATTTGGTAACCAAAATTATTCTAATAGCATATTGTAGTCTTCAAATATCATTATGATTTTGTTTGAGATAGTTGAAATTTTTTTTTTTTTTTTTTTGGGAAACCTCCATTCTCAGCTCTAGCTTTAAGAATATAATTTTTCATAAAACTTTTTTGAAGTGAAAAAATTTTAACTAATAACAAAAAGAATATCTTCCAATTACATATTATTTTTTACTCTTTTTTGGTAAAAAAAAGTTCCTAGCAAACCTTCTTTTTTTTTTTTTTTTAAGTTCGTAGCAAACCTAAATTCCTCTTATAAGATTAATTTGTAATAGCTTTTTTTTTCATTGAAATAAAATGTGTTTTTGTTTTAAAAAAAAAATAGAATAGCTTTTTCATTACTTTCTAAAATAGCTTTTTAGTACGAAACCAAAAGAAAACCACCCCAAATGATTCCTTAGGTTTCGATTGGGACGGCTTTCTTACTGCTTCTTAAAATAACTTTTTAGTACAAAATTAAATTTTTTATACTAGAAAGCAGCTTTAAGGTGTAAAAAGGCCGCCCTCGTTTGGGAGGTCTTTCTTATTATTTTTTAAACAACTTTCTAGTACAATTTTTTTTTGAATTAGAAATTTTTATACTATAAAGTAATTCTAAAAAACGGTAAGAAATCCGTCCCAAACAAAACCTTAAGACTCAAAGTTGTCTTCGTATATGTTCCAAGGAGCTAATACTTTTTTTTGGTGGAACCATCTATAACATATATCATTAACAAATTAATTATGATTATCCTAAAAGAAACTTTCCTTAAAGTTCTCTTAATTTTTTTTATCTTATCTTCTTATCTTCACCTTTAATATAGCCACCTTAGTAAAAAGGCTTTAAGTTTCTTTTTTATCATAATTATTTAATATAGCTTATTTTCTTTTTCACAACACCTAATATGTTTAATGAATAATAAATAAATGAAATTTGAATTGATTAACATAATATTTTGATATTTAAATTAATCACCTAACGTACATCATGATAGCCATAACCGGTCCAATACAAACTAAAAAGTAAAAACACAGTGGCCTTTGTTTCCAAAATAATAAAATATTATAAACAATGCTATTTATTTCGACAATGGAAAAAAATTGTGCCGAAATCGAATAATTGATCATTTTTATATTATAATAGGACTACTTTTTTTTTTTTAATGTACAGATTACTCGTATATCATGTATTTTCTCTTATAAACAACATCATTTTTTTTTTTTTAATGTACAGGTTACTCGTATATCATGTATTTTCTCTTATAAACAACATCATAATTGATAATTTTTATATTATAATAGGACTACTTTTTTGTTATTTTCTCTTATAATAATTAAAATTTTAGAAAATATTATTAAACTAATATATATTATGATAGATGGCCAAAAAAGCATCTTGAATTGGGCACGAATCTCGATGTCAAATATGAATCAGAAGCTTCTAAACTTAAATTCGGGATTGTCCAAACTTCAATTTAAACAAGCTTACGGTCAAACAAAATGTCTCGCGAAAACGAACTCAACAGCATCAAGTTTGATCCAATCCAAGCCCACTATGAATGGAGGTTTCAAAGCATTAATTGAAAAACTAAATGAGTATTGAATATGGCATGGTTATAGTCAAATCAAGTGGCTCGACAAGACGAGCCCAATGAGCCAAAAATCATCAAATTCTGATACCATTAAGACATTTAAATACTCAATCAACGGACTATGATTTAAGGAGTCGATATCTATCATCCATCTTAACACTCCCAACTTGACCTTGATAATCCTTATATTTACAAGCCATGTCACTCCCAAAAAACTATGAATATACCTCAATTCTTCATATAGAGAAAGAGGGAGATGAAAAGGAGGGAGATGAAAAGGAGGGAGAGTGGAGGAAAAGAAGATTTAGAGAGCTACCTTGCCATCAACCACTACTGGAGCTCTTCGTGATCACAACTAGAGTTCCTCCCGACCACCGTCGAAGGTCTTTCCGACCACTACCGGATTCTTTCCGATCATTGTCGAAGTGCTTCCCGACCACCACCAAGAGATTTTCTTGACCAACACCAGAGATCTTCCCAACCACCTTCGAAATTCTTCTAGACTATTGAACATCACAGTACATCTGCCCGCTCATCAATCACACTAGATCTCTTCCTAACCACCAATAGTCATTGAACTTTCACCCATTCATCGACTGCCTCCAGATATCTTCCCAAACACCGGCCATCGCCGGACTTTCGTCAGTTCTCTGATTTTCGCCAGAACTCTTCCTAGATGATATCGACACCATGTCTCCTTCCAAATATTATCACTCGCCAACTACGACCCTTGCGAACTCCACTACCCGCCGACTATGGTCTCTCCAACCAATATCTCCAGATGATGATCTCCCTGACTGTTGTCATCTGACTACAATCGTTCCGACCACCATCATCTGACAACGATTCTTTCGACCTCAATCGTTCGCCGACTATATATATGAAGCCTATAATGGTCACTCAAACAAATTACAAACTAACATAGGTTTATGATGTAACTGTTATAAGGAACCAGTATTCCTTGAAATCTTGAAACATTTCTATTTCCTCGAAATTCTTATGTATTTTATGTATAACTGGAGGTTTAGTCTCCGAAAAGTTCGATATCAGACGGCCATTTTTTTAGACGCCAGTTATTACCAGCAGCATGGACGCCGAATATACCAGCGATTTTATACTGCCGGTAAGCCGCCGACTGTTTTAGCCCCGAAATTTACCGACAGCTTACCCGCGGTTTTGGGTTCACTAATTTCCGACTATTTTCGCCGCCGGAAAATTTTGCCGCAGAAAAATGACCGTCGATTTTCTTTACCTACGCGGTTTATTCCGGCGGTTTGTAAACCACAAGAAATTTAACAAACCGCCGGAAAATATATGTAAACCGTCGTTAATTGACGATTTTCCTATAGAAGCCTTATATTCGCATATTTCACATGCATGTCACTTTAAATGTCATTACGTTCCTGTAAAAATAGAAAGATTAATAAATATGTGGATTGGATTAGTAAACATAATGTGCAATACATTAAAAAATATATTAAATTACTGAAATGTTACATGATGTTTAGAGCAAAGTTTATAGATGCAAGGGAGTAGAAATCAAGAATAAAAAACAAATGAAAAATATTAATGTTAGAATTATAAAAGAGAACCAAAATTAATGAAGATAATTATAACAACTAAAGATCATTTGCATCAAATCACCGAGATAGAATAAAAGTAAATCATACATTGATACATAGAAGAAAGATTGTTTTGGGTTAATAATCATTCAATTAAATACAATTTCTCTTAGAGAATAATCTCTATATTTTTCTAATGATGGGATGTCAAATACAATGGGATGATAGAAGAGAATGAGAGAGTATCATATTCATATAAAGAGGTGTATTACATCTATATGTATCCATATAAAGAGGGGTATTTATTCATATGGATTGCATATCATAATTATTGAAAGGAATAACCCTTTGGAGTGGCATTATCAATAGGGAGCTGGGGAGTCTTAAGCATGCTTGCGTGTTGTAAAAGAATAATCAAGCGGTATCCTAGTTGGTGATGATTATTAGAGGTGTCAATTTTGGGTCACAGGTCGGGTTCGGATCGAATCCAGAACTAATCCGGGTTCAAACGGGTCAACCCTAACCCGACCCGGGTATGTAAACGGGTCGGAAATGCGGACCTGAACCCGACCCGTCGGGTTGCCGGGTTGATCCGACCCGACATTGGTCGGCAAAACACGCGGATGCGGGTGGGCACGAGTGGGCGAGCTTGGGTGCGTGCGCGGGTAGCCTCGAGCACGGGGCGCTGGCAGACGCGGGAGGCCTATGCGGGCGCACGAGATGGCAGGCGCTATCGCGCGGGCAGCTGGGAGGGCAGCTTCATGGGCAGGCAGGGCAGTGCAGGCAATTGATTTTAAACGGGTTCGTGGGTTGACCCAGCAACACGTCGGGCCCAACCCAAATATTCCGGGTCGGATTCGAGTCGGATTTTCGTGTCGTGTCAAATATTGACACCCCTAATGATCCTTCGGAAGAGATCAACATAAGCCTTTATGAAAAGCAATCCATGATCAAAGAAAAATAATCAAGACCCCCTATTTTTGGTCTTTGGCAGTCATCAAAGGAAGTCCATAAAAATACTTTTTCTATAGGCAACTTGGTTGCCAATCCAAGCTTTCAATTGCCGCACAACATGCATGCCTTCATGAATTTGCCGGCATCCTATTGCATTTTGTGCATGTAGACATTGAACAATTATAATGTCCTCCGACCGGATGCTCGGAGCACCTCGATATAGGCGGGATTTTGCCTACAACCGGATGTTCCTCTGCATCCTTACACCGGACCAAATAAAAGTTCGTAGACATAACGCTGTAAATTCTATAACGTTTTGCCCACTCCAAAGTGTCTAATTACTTCAGATGAATGTACATATCATTATTGTACTCATCAACATGAACATGCAAAGCATTTGAAAGTGACCATGATTCCTAGGTTATTTCAAACTTCATGTTTCCTTAGGTCTCATCGAATCGTAAATAGAGTAACTTGACAGTGTTCAGTTATAGATTAGACTGAAAAAATTGCATAATTTTTTACCATTTAATATGCTGCAATTGCCATAAATAGCTCCAACTAAGGCTTCGTTTAGGACGGCTTTTTTACTGCTTCTTAAAACAGCTTTTTAGAATAAAAATTAAAAATTTTGTACTAAAAAACTATTTTAAAAAGCAGTAAGAAAACCGTCCCAAACGAAACCCAAGTGTCAGTAGTATTAAACTAGAAAGCATGGTATTTACTTCATATGTGCTTTTTGTTGCTAAACCATCAGTTGCCCTTTTCAACTTTCAGGAGTCTGTCATCACTTTCACGAACTTCCATTGTTCCTACCCTGCAGAAATTTGGAGGATTACATGTGCTGAAGATTTTCAGAGTTTAAACTCCTCTAAACTTTGCAGTTCGCTGGATTTCAAGCAACTTGATTTGTTCTTTCAAGTTTGTGCATCCTCCATATTATAGCAATCTTAGCTACTTGGGTTGATCAATCATTAAGGGTCAAAATCCGATCAGTCAATGAGATTTAACTTTGATGGTTCATAATAGTTTATAAAAGCTAGAAGGGAAGAGCTGTACCAGTTTTTTGTTCCAGTCGAAGAATCATCTGAACGGCTGCTGAAATGGCTCTGACCATCAGTTAATTAAAAAATCAAATAGCTTTTTTCCCTTCATTCAATCTGCAACTGAACTTCTCTGAATTCTTAGTATCAAAAGCTTCACATATCACGTTTCCGATCTTATCCTTCCAAATTAAACTAATATTTAATCCCTCATCTAGGACAAAAAAAACATCTAAATGTATTTTTTAATTTCTACAGAATTTTTTGGGGAAAATTGAGGGCAAAGATATTTTTCCATTAACTATAAAAATATAATTATAGCTAGGCATCAAAAGGACATAAAATTGATACATGAGCTGCAACTAATAATAGCAATGCTCAAGAGAAAATTTGGAAAAGATTGAAACTCCAAAAAAAATCTGGACTCAAAATGGTCAAAACTTCAACCCATCAACATTTAGAAAGCTTTTGGTGAAGCATTTGCACCCCTGTTGCTAAAGGCAGTACAAGGGATGCAAGATAAAATCTCAAGCACGAATTGATGAACACCCACTGATGGCAAATAGTGTTGTAGTAGGATTTTAACCTCTTGATAATTTTTCCATCCCTAGATATTGCTATTAATGGCTTTTTTAATCTCATAACAAATAGTAGTGTGAATTTGAATAGTATTTTCAAATATTCTATTGATTCTTTTCCTCCATAAAAGGGATACCACAAAATTAATCTTGCTGAGTAGAAGAGGTCATATCAAGAATGAATTCAAATAGTTGGAGCAAATAAGGTCTAGGAAAAAAATTGGATGCAAGAGAGAGAATGCTTCATATAATGTTGAAAGAGCATGAGCATTTAAAAAACAAGTGATTAATGCCTTCTGGTTCCTCTAAAAACAAATTGCAAGATACAAGAGATGAGATGAGATGTTCCTTTTCATCAATGTATCCGTAGTTTTCATACCCAAAAATAACAAACCAAGCATAAACAAAGAATCTTAAAGAATACTTTTTATGCCAAATGAGATTACTCGAAAAAAATATAAACTTGGTTGATATAAATGACTTAATAAAATGCCTAAACTAAGTGCTAGTAAAACCAAGCCAGAGCACATTCTCATCAGTATCTGGTGCAATAGGAATATCAGTTATAGCATGGACAACAACAGCTGTAAACAAAAAATGAACCTGCTAGTTTTAGTTACGATTAATAGCAAAAAGAATAGTAATGATGGTGGTGGGTAGCTTTCTTGATGAGATTAATGACTAGCAAAGGTTATAGATCTTTTGTCTAATATTTAAAGAGGACTTATGGAGTTTATGATAGAATAATGAAGGGTTTAGAGTGGTATACTAGAAGTAATGTCAAGACTGATTTGGGCTGATTTGAAAAATCATTTTAAGGAGTGACTTTTATGTGAGATAAATCACTATTAATGATGGAGGAAGTTTAGCTTAAGATATGAATTTGTGATATGAAGTTGATGACAGAGTTTGGCGGAGTTTGAGAGAACGTTGAAGTATAGGGAACAAGACTAAGTCCAAGTGTTCCTTAGTTGGGCCAATTGCTATGTAGAAGTGTTTATAATAGTTGTATGATTTTGGTTGATGGATTATTGATCATAAAAAATCTTTATAAAGTATAAAAAGAATTGTGAAGAGTTTAAAGTAGGTGTTTAAGAAAAGTTATTAATAGCATAAAAAATAAAGATAACTATCTAATCTCATTAAAACATAAGGCATTTTGAAGCTAGAAAGCAAATGAACAGAACTTTTGCAAAAAATTATTTCATTCCAAAAATTAAAAATTACAATGCATATCAGCACATATTTCAAAGCATTACAAAACTAGCTATTGGAAAAAAACGGTGGAATAAAAAGGAAGGAAAATAAGGCATTGGTGGACATTGAAAAGGAGTTCCAACTACCTATTTTTTAATGTCTCATCCATACTTAATCATTTCATGGCTAACAATACAAGCTTTTAGATGGAAAAAAAATATAAATTACATTTAAAATTTTTAAAATTATGGGCTCTTTATTAGGCTCTTGTAATTGGACCTTTTCTTTGATCTTTTCCTTGGACTTCGATCTTAGCTATTGTGATTGAGATTTTAGGTTGATTTTCTTCATCTACATGATGTGCTACATCAAATAATGTCCAAAATAGAAAAAGTAGAAGTAAATCAAGCATCTCACATAAAATTTTACTGTTGTAGCAAGAGTCCCGAAAAAGAGAGACCTTCCTACAATAAGATAATTTGTGAGACATAAATATTCAACTAACAACTTTAAGATCTTTCAGAAATAAAAAGAACGAGACAAAGGTTTTCATAGAGATATATACTAATAATTCCACCATCTGGCAAGTAACCCATCACTTATAAGAAAAAGCCAAATAAGAGAACATTTATAAGCATAGTTTAGTGCAACAAGAGCAGAAATATCATGACCACCTAAATAACCTGGTTTGAATGTGTTGGACTAAAATATGAGATGTAACTTTCTAGTGTTAATATCACCAAGAAATAAAAAAAACTTGCCAAAAGTTTGTTTAACTATTTGAAGCAGGTTTTAAGTATAACACCCCCCTAAGTAAGAATGCAACTTTATTCAATATTGTAAACCTCAGAAATTGCATTCTGCCAGCAAATGAAAGTGGTTTAGCTTTCCAACCCTTAAGCAAAAGATAAATTTCACTTAAGAAAAGCTGGAAGTCAGCAAATGCAGTCTTTACATAGAGATAGGAATACCTAGATATGTGAGCGAGGGATTGGTTCTCGTTAAATTCAGCTCCTTACAAAGCTCAGACTAGTTTGGATATGCTTAGAGAAGACAATAAAACTTTTGGAGGAATTGATACTCAACCTTGATAATTCTTTGAAGTGAGTTAAGATACCAACAAGTGAATGAAAGTTGGGTTGGTTAGCTTTCTCAAAGACTAATAAGTTATTTGCATAGAGCAAATGAGAGAAATGTTACCCTCCCATAATGTTGGCAGCGTAGGAATTCCTAATGATGGCTCTTTCAAATAGATTGGAAAGACCAACCATAACAATGCGTAAAAAAAGAGATAAATGACAGCCTTGTCTTAAGCAAAAGGAGGAATTCAAAACCCCTTCAAGAGAACCATTTATACTAATAGAGTAATGGACATTCTTAATGGAAGCTTCAATTCATCTTATAAAAAATAATAGGAAAATATTTCTAACACAATCTACAGAGAAGAAAGTCTCTCGAAACAACATTTAAAGAACCCCTCCTTTTTAACATTATGAAATTTAGACAGATTCTCATTAGCCAAGATTATATTGTTAGAAGATATTCTATTTTGACAAAAAATAGTTTGTCCATGATGAATAATATGAGGCATGATAGGTTTAAGCCTTGGAGTAATGATTTTAGCAATAATTTTGTAAAAGATACTGTAAATGAAAATAGGCCTCGGGTTTAAAATATTATGAGCATTTTTATTCTTAGGAGTTAGGAATAAGAGCAACACATGTGGCTTTTACTTTTTAAGGAGTGTTGCGGACTAGAATATACGTGAAAATAGAGTTAAAAAGCTTTCGTCTCAGCATTGTACAGATATTCAGTACACAAACAGAAGATGAAATAACACTAGGATTTTTACGTGGAGAACCCTGAAAAAGGAAAAAAATCACAAGGGTCACGCCCAGTTGAAAGAACTCCACTAGTATTTGCTTGAAATACAAGAGGCTGACTCGTCCTTAAAATTTAAGACGATCATATTACAATGATTCACTTCCGGATTGGAATCTAGTTACAAACAAGTTGTATTCGAGAAGAATTCAGAATCACTTAAAGATTAGACAGAACTCCGGAGTCACTTGGAGACCAGGCAGAGTTCTAGCGTCACTGGAAAGTCGAGCGGAATTCCAGCGTCAGTGGAAGTCGGACAGAGTTCTAGTGTCTAGTGGAAAGACAGGCAAAATTCAGGCGTCATTGTGGAATTCAGACAGAATTTCGGCGTCCCACGGAAGTTGGGAAAAATTCCGGCGTCCCATGGAAGTCGGGTAGAATTCCGGCGGTGGTCGAGGAGTTTCTTCCCTCCTATCCTTCTTCTCATCTTCCTCTTGATTGGGTCCCCTCTCAAGAGAAATGAGGGGCTATTTATAGTTTTTTGAGGATGGCATGACCCGTAAATAGGAGGATCAAGGGCAAATGTGAAGTGGTTTGGATGGACGGCCGATATTGAATCCATTGATCATGCATCGTTTGTCAGACATTTGAAGGTCTTAATGATATCAGAATTCGGCGATCTTGGGCTCGTTGAATTCGTCTCGTCGAGCCGCTCGATTCAACTATAAGCATGTCATGTTTGGAAACCGTTTGGTAATCCAAATTGTTGTTTGAATCTTCCAACAGCGCTTCGGGTCTTCGATTCAGACTCATTTGGGCTCGGATTGAGTTGAATTTGGTATCGTTGGGTTTGTATTTTTGAGACGCTCAGTTCGACTATAAGTTTGCTGAAATCGGAGTTCAGATGATCCCGAACTTAATTTTTGAAGTTTTCGTCTTGATTTTGCCTCAAGATTCGTGCCCGATCAAGATAATTTTTTGATGATATATCAAGGAGAAAGCTATTATAACAAAGTGCTTAACAACCGAACACACTTGTCCCCAATTAGATTAAGAGCTAGAATAAAAATCAAAAGTAAAATCGTCAAGGCATGGAACAGCATTTTTGGAAGAGAAAATCACTTTCTTGATTTCATCATCAGTAATCCATGCAATAAGAAGAGGCATGAGGTGAGGTAAGGTGAGGGGAGATCTAGTTACCAACAGGAGATGAGGAGACAAATCCAGAGAAGGAATAGGAGCACTTAAAGGATTTTTAAAATGAGAAATAACAACTTTAGCAATTTCTTGAGATGTGCCCTAGGAGGAAAAGATTTTCCTGATAAAATTATGATTTATCAGGCCTTTAATCTTTCCATAAAGGAATTTGAAATCTTCCTCCCCTTTAGACAATTACTTAGTTTCAGCTCTTTGCACAATCCCAGAGGACCATGCAACATAGTATAAGGAAAGCATATCCTCAAGATCTTTAGTTTTGGCATTAAGAATAGGTTTTGAAGGATATTGGACAAGCATAAAAAAGAAAGAAGTTTGTTGTTTTCCATTTTTCTGATGTTAGAAAGAATATGATTTAAAGTAGCCCACATTTTCACTTTGATCATAGATTTAACTGATGGAGTGGAGCTTCTAGTAGAGATACCAAATAGGGTCTTCGTTGTTGTTTCTCCTGAAGAAGGGTATACATAATATCCAAAAATTGAAGCTTTTTGGACCAGTAGTTTTTATATAGGAATCTACGATTGTTCATAGTGAGATGAGAAGTATGAACAATCAGTAGTGAGTAGTCTGAACATCTAGGAGGCTCGATTCTATAAAAGGAAAGAGGATAGACTTCCAGCCAATTGTCATTCACAAAAACATGATCAAATTTGAAATGTATTGGATTATCAATTCTACAGTTGTACCATGTATAAGAAAGACCCACTTATGCCAAATTATTATTAGCAACGTCAAAAATCATGCTATTAAAATTCCAAAGCTTACTATTTGGAATAGGATTTCCACCTAATTTTTCCCTATCATCTCTACTCTACATCAGTTGAAGTCCCTCAAAATGACCTAGGGCTAATTAATATTTGCTCAAAGGCCTTTGATACTGTTCCAAAATTTAGCCCTTCCAATATAGGAGTTAGAAGTATGACCATAAATAAAAAGAAAATAGTAGAGCTACAAAAATTTCAAACTGAAGAAAAGTTTTTTATAGCTTCGATAGATGGCCTACGGCACGAAAACTTTCCCACAAGCGCAAATTTGAAAGGAGCACCGAGTGCTTGGATTTCCACTTCCGAAATCCACAAGGCCGGCAAACCACGATGTGTAGAAATTTTGAGATCGGGAAATGAAACTGAGCTAGGAGAAGCACCAGCTAAAACAACCTTAAAGGAAAGGGAAGAAGCAGACCCATTTAAAAAACTAGGGTCTTTGATATGGGAAGCGCCATAAAATCGAAAAGGGAAACAACCAAAACACAACAAATAGCTAAGGAAGGAAGATGTGAACTTCCCTTAAGCAGGCGACAAAGGCCTTCGAGGCGACAGCTAGGGCACGAGGAAACCATAGCAGAGCAAACATCATGTGTTCCGGATTATCACCTGTGTGACTTATTGAGCTCCAAACTAAATTACAGGTCTGTTTATATACTGCCAAAATTTGATCAGGGTGCATCTAAACTGCAATTTGATTCTTATTAGCAACATAAAATAAAGATTGTCATCATAACATCTTCAAAAGGTCCAGACAGAGATCTTCCCCTAGACCAGCTCTCTAGGACTCGAGCTAAACCAGGCGGTCGGTCGTGTTCAGACATCTCAATGACTCAAAATTACTTGGATATTTATCGCAATGTTGTGATTTAAATGGAGATGAAATTTTGATATTTTATGAAATGAATAAGATGAGGAATTTTTTTAGGTTCGCACCTCGCATGATAAGATATTACTCTTCAGATCCCTACAGCGGCATACTCGAACACCAAAAACGAATTCTTATAACCAATTCAAGTAGACATCTCAGTGAAAGATAATTTACATACATCAAAAATAAAAATGGCATACCTTGTGTGACAAAGCAAAGGACATCTCCGATGGTACTCAAATGCACTGCTCATACTCCTTCGATGCTCCTTCGACACAGTAACGTAAGCAGCCATAAAAACACCCATTCCTGTCCAAATACTCCATCAAGCCAGCCCTAATTTCATCTCCTTACCTTCCAAGTATTCTTCTTCTCTTAATACATCATCACCACAATCCCACGAGCAAAAGTCTTTCCCATTTCCACAATTCCACCGTATAACAATCCAAGAACACCATTCCCCTCTCCAGCATCGAATAGTACTCCTTAGTCTGTAACTCTGGCACAAGCGCCGAACCCTAACCATCTCGATCTCACCCTCCGCCCATTCCAAGCAGATCCTCTCAATACTTCGTCGAAGCCAGTTTTTCCAGTGAGGGGATGATGTGGTACACGTTACCAAGGGGAGTATTATACCATTCCCTAACTGCCAGTTCGCTCTCCACTATCCTCTTTTACTATTTTCCGTTTTATAGTACTATTACACATGGTAGCTTGTTTTTACTATTATAGAAAAGGAGTATTATACATATAGGTAGAGGAGGAAAATGTGATTAGACAACTTGATACTCTCTGAATACAGAAAACACAGTTTTCTTCTATACAGAACCGGAGTTCTGTTTTGTTCTTTTGCCGCTTCTTCTTGCAGGTCCTGTAGCAGTTCGATCGGTGCAAAGGTTTGCATTAGGGGATTCGCGAAGCAAGAAGAAAGCGGCGGAGTTGTCGTTGAAGATATTGGAAAATGTGGCGAGGAAATGGTAAATGTCCAATCAAAAAGAAAATTCTAATTAAATAGAATGAAGTTATAATTTGGGTTTGGCTTTTTTTTTAGTTCTGATTTAGTTTAATTTAGCATTTTATCTAATAGATTTATTTTACATGCTTCCGATTAGATGTTTTATCAAATTAAAATAAATTAAACAGAATAATCTAAACATTATATTTCAAATCACATCTATTGATAGCAATAATTGGTTGGTTCAAATGTGTGAAATCACTTATATTATTTACTTGTCACCCTTGTCCTAATATCAACTATAGAGGAAGGCGGGTCCCGCAGGGGCACGTGCCTTGCCCCGTTCGGAAAAAAAAATCAAAAATTCTATAACTACACACGATTTGAAGTTTTGGGCGGTTCAATATTCACTCGCCCTAATACTTCGGCCTCAGAAGCTCTCGTGCGGCGCAGGAAGCTCTCATCTTGTCGCCTCTGCCTGTGGCTCCACCGGTGAGTCCAGCCAGTAGCGTCGCATTCAAATTCGCGCACAAGAATCGTCTCGAAACAATGCGTCCAGCCTGCAACTCGTACCTGTACATTCACTCCCTTCTTCCGTCTTCGATCCGGGCCATCCGACATTCCACTTAAGACCCGAAGGTAAGAGGCTCTTAAAATCTCTTACGATTTCGTTTTAGTTTTCTATATAAGATTTCATTTGCAAGGATTTCATTTGATGTTTTTGATTTTCTATATAAGATTTTGTTTGCATTTTTGTTCTTAGCTGCCTTTAAACTGTACAAAGTATTTCTTCTAAAATTATTGATGCAATAAAAAGGTTGTTTGATTAGTGCATCCGAATCATATTATTTTTACTGTATGTGATTCATACATTAAAAAGTTTGTTTGATTAGTTGTTTATTTTTTAAATAAAAATTTTTAAAACTGGTAATACGTAATACCGGTTTCAAGCACGAATGAACAAAGTTGAGGAGATTTAAAAAAAATTTAGGTCTCCTCTATGAAAAATTTCTAACTTCGCTACTCCCTAATATAGTTCTTAACTTCTTAATCATTTGACCCTATTTATTTGAAAATATTAAAACTATAAAGTAAAATAATACCTATAAATTTTATTTTTTATATGATTTGAAATAATATCCACAAAAATAAATATGAAATTCATCTAAATCAAAATTCATAATGTTTGCTACAGCCCTATTGTTGAACTTCGTTGTACCATAAACTCATGATCGTTGTGAACCTTGCCTGCAACTCATATTTGCGAAACCTTCTCACACCTACAGTTGGGGAGGGATTATTCTGTGAGGACACCGGATGGAAGAACTGTCGGTTTCTGAGCTCGGTACCAACTACCAAATAGTACTGAGCGCTCGATATCGAGAGAGGTATATTTTAGGGATGACGTGACGCATTTTTAATGGTCTACGGATGAATCCGGACTCGCATGTAATAATTTTTCACAGTTGCGACCCTAACATTGCACCATTAGTCTATTCTTGTTAAGGGTATCAATATTTGATATGTTATGAAAATTTTGGGTTCGGGTCAACCCGAGGGTCGGGCTCAAGTATACCTAGAAACCTGAAATCAACCATATTTGACCCGTTCATAATTAATTTAAGAGAATTTTAAGAGACTAGTTTGATTGCACGTGCATTAAATGCACGTGAATAAAAATTTAAAAATAAAAAATCATATTATGAATATATTAATTATATTATCATTGTTAAAATGAAAAAATTAATTAAGTTTA